GCTTTAGAAATAAGTGTGAAATTATCTATCTATATTTATCATATTTGTGAACGCTCGTCACTTTGATTGCCTAAAACCTCCGAACCACGAAATTTTGGAATAAAAAAAAAAATAACGGGGGTTCAGAATTATGTAAAATGTGCACAGTTATATTAAGGAGTCTAAAGTCACTGCGATTTAATTTTCAGTTTTTCATTAGTTCCCTTTAGATCTAATCTAGGGAAAGTTCGTCTTCTAAGACGCCATTGTAAACAAGTGATGCTTCCGCAGTTCACAAGCAGTTCACTCTGTTTTCACAATGACTTTACGATCGATTCTTTTGAGTCCGTTCATCGAAGCTAGTAATATCGTAATGCACTTATCAAGGAGATTACCGTCATAGATAGGAGAAGAGGCGACAGGTTTTCGTTTTAGTAAGAGTTTTACGGCACTTACAACACAATAAGGTCGTGTAAGTGCCGAAGATTAGAGGTGCTACAAAGAGAGTAACAACATCAAAAAGAAGGAAGGGAGACGATAGGTGCCTGACAGGAAAATAGGAGCAAACTAGGCCAGACCAACAGCCAACCACCTACTGCCTCAGGTCTGGATAGGAAAGAAGGAGCAAACCACACCAGAGCACCCGCCAACCACCCACTGCGACAGGTTTGGTGACAGACGCTGCTGGACTTTGGACGGGAACTGAATACGTCGTCCCCACAGACTGGTATGTAGACGATATCCCTCATGACGCTAGTCCGTTTTGTTTTGTCTTTTCGTTTCAGTAGAACTTTTACGGCACTTGCAACACAATAAGGTCATCTAAATGCCGAAGATTCGAGTTAGTTGTGGGAAGAGTTTTACGGCACTTGCAACACAATAAGGTCATCTAAATGCCGAAGATTCGAGTTAGTTGTGGGAAGAGTTTTACGGCACTTGCAACACAAAAAGGTCATATAAGTGCCGAAGATTAGAGGCGTTACAAGCGAGTAACAAACAAACAAAAAATGAGGAGAGATCAGGACGACAGACGTTTGATAGGAAAGAAGGAGCAAACCACATCAGAGCACCGGCCAACCACCCACGAAAGTGTTACAAACGAGTCACAAACACAAAAAATAAAGAAGGAGAAAAAGATGATAGACGTTTGATAAGGAAGAAGGAGCAAACCACACTAGAAGAACCACACCCGCCAACCACCCTCTGACGTAATTCAGGTTCGCTATGAAGCGCACTATTTCACTCTGGTTAAGAGGTAACAAAAAAACCCACAAACTAATCTAACACAAACTTACATACACACATACACATACACACACATACACACACATACACACACATACACAAACACACATACACACTTACACACTTACACACACACACATTCAGACACATACACATACATCATACACATACATATACCCAAACACACATACACACATATACACACACATTCACAAACGCACACACACACATAAACACACACACACACACACACACACACACACACACACACACACACACACACACACATTTACCAAATGTAGAGAAAAGAGGGAAAGGATGCACGCCCACTCGACTATGGTGAGGCTGGTAAGGTAAGGTTGTTTTTTTACGGCGCTTGCAACTGCGTAATAAGATCATGACGCGTTCTGACGTTCATTCGGGTGCCCATGGGGCGCATCAGCGAAACGTAAATTTAATAATGAGAATTAAAGAGAGGCGGCTGTAACAGTGCGCGGTCTGGGATATCATCATCATAATTAGTCCGTCCACGGTCGTTTATCATCCTCTTTGCCAAAAAGGGTAAAAATTAATTCGATATGCATTTCGATGAAGGATGAAAAAGCACATAAAAATAAAGGTAGAACAAAGAGGGCTCTGGGGGCACGGGACAATAGGATGTAGGGAAAGAATAGGCCACCAACAAGAAAGCAGCCGGAAGTTGACTGCTGGGGAGTAACAAGTGGTGTGGGTAGAATATACGGGTTTAACCCTTTTTTCGACAATATAATTGTTTAGGTCGTTTAAGAAGGCGGGGACTCCAAGCCTTGCGCCCACTGTCGATAGGAACAAACCGGGGAGGAAGAAGGATGGGGAAAAAGAGGGGTGGGGGGTGACAATGACAATGATAATGACATTCTTTATTCATCTCAGAAGACAAAATTTGTCTTGGTCGTTTACAATGCCAGTGGAATGTTACAAAGGTTAATTGCACTCACGTATACACCCAACCAGACAGGTCGTTTGTAAATTAAATATACACGTTTTTCGAGCTGAAACAACCCGCCCCGTAAAACACACACAAACACACACACACTCTCTCTCTCGTTCTCTCTCTCTCTCTCTCTCCCTCTCCCTTCCTCCCCCTCTCTCTCACTCTCCCTGTTTCATTTGTAGCAAAGATAGTACTATCTTTGTTTGTAGCACTGTGTTCAGTAACCTCACTGCAGTTGGTACGACCTTGTCGCGTGGTTGATGGAGGACCTTTCTACGCGGTGCCCATTGCGGGTCGGGTCGGGGGCGATCGCCCCACTCGTCACCTGAAAACAAAGCGTTTGTTTTTCAGGCGACGAGTCGGGCGCGATCGGCCTGTGCCACTTTAGCCGCTTTGTGGTGCCACGATAGCCGCTTTGCGCCCTCAATCTGGCTAGCAAACCACCTCGACCCGACCCGATCCCCCAATGCGCACCCTGTATAAAACTACAAAAAAAAACAAAACAAACCCAAGTTCACGAAAGCCCTGCTGAAAAATGGAATCAAGACCGTCCACACCATAATCCTGCTTTATACCAACTGAAAACTGTACAGGAGTACCTTCGAAAGTAGCAGCCTGAAGGCAAGGGGGCCCTACGAAGTGGGAAAAATGGACACATGACGTAGAAGTCTGTAGAACTGAAGGTTGAAGGACCAGCACGCAGTTGACTAACTCTGAGATCTAGCATGGGAACACAATAAAGAAGAAGCCAACTAACTTAACAGTATGCCCTGGTAAGAAGTGGAAAGCGTTTTACAAGGAAAGTCGTACACTTGCTATAGGCTAGGAAAATGCTTAGTTACATTTACAAATGCTAAAATACAGAGAAACTTCT